TCACGTCATTTCCAGCACTCAAAACAAAGCCGCGTCGGCTCTGTCTAACAAGGGTGAAATATAAAACCAAAGGTTTCGCCCTGAAAATGCAGCCGTGCTGTTCTCGTTTGACCCAGCCGTGTTGGATTGGCGAACACCGTGGGGGGCAGTTCCAAGGTGATTTGTTTCCCCCGTGTCCTCGCAGTCAAACACAGAGTGGATCCCCCGAGCACGTGGTGCTGAAGCTCGACTGGAGCCCAACTGAAGGCCGAATGGAGGCCGAATGGAGGCGTACTGCTGAGACCCGGGCAGGTGCTGGCTCGGTGGCCGCCGCGACAGACTTGCATCGGAAGCCATTGACATCCACTGGTCGCAACTTGAAAGCGCCCTGAGTGCCTCACTGCCCATGGCACTGCCCACGCCCACACACTCTCCAACTTCTGACGTCACACCTCGCTCGGGTTCGATTCCCCACGGCGACCTTTCTATTTTTTTCGGTCCAGCCTCGTGTACAGGGGCGTTGGCTTTTCAGTGAAGAGAGTTGAGTCCTAACCCCTCCCGTCGGTCCCATCGGTACCACCACCACTATTGCTCCATCAAGCTCGGAACAAAAACCTAGAAAGTCCACGCGCAAGATTTTGGCAAAACGTGTTCGTTCCGTGTATAGTGGTGGACGCACATCGCGCGCATCAAACTGCATGCGTGTGGCACAACTGCATCGTAAAGCACACGTCACATATCACGCCGCGCAATGACCAGCGTCACACACACACACACACACACACACACACACACACGCACACAGAGTCGGCATGCGTTTGTGACGCCCTCTCGCATAGTGGAATTCTGAGTAGGCTCATTGTTAACACTGGCGCTGCAGCGGCCGTTGCATTACAACCGAATGCATGCATTCGAAAATACAATACATTTGGAAAGAGTTTGATGAATTGCTGTTGTAATAAGGCCAAGCAGGGTCCAGAGGCTTCGCGTTTAGAACCTTACGAGGAATTTTCAACATAGCATGCAAGGTACAAACTACTATTTATGTGAGGAATAACTGGTAAAAAGCGGCATTTTCATTATAAGCACATGTAGTGTGGTCAAAATACATTGTTCTGACTAGCTACTTTTCTTTGTAAGATCTTAAGTGGCTTGTCAGGTTTTCAGAGTGCTCTCACATGATTCCCCTCTCATAAACCGCCACACGACGCGGACGAACGGAAAAAAATATCAGTGCAGCTTACATTTTTTCACGCTGAGCGACAGTTCACGCACACAAACACACACACACACACACACACACGCACAAACGCACAAACGCCGAGCGCAGTGAAGCGGAGTCCCCAGACACGGTGCACGGCGCGGCACGGCAAAGCACTTTGCGAGAGGGAGTGAAAATTAGCCACCGTGCCAACAGAACGCCACGACGTGGGCCCCCACACTGCGACACACACACACACACACACACACAGAGTAGCCGTTCATTAACCCTTCGCTATACATTTTACTGCAGCGGCACTGCACGTCGAGTGGGTGGCCACACTGTCGTCTGCACGCAGTCCACACGGAGTCCACACGTAGTCCACACGGAGGGCGCGGAAGGGCTGCGAGGGCATTTCCCCGGCATCTCCACTTGACTTCCTAACTACGTGACTAACACATTTCATACACCTGCACCGCCAACACAAACTCGGCCTGACCCGACCCTCCGCCGCCGCCACTGCCGCGCGCCCTTCAGGGCCAGGGCCTTCAGGGGCCTTCAGGGCCAGGGCTAACTTGCAAGCACCACATTACTCCAATCACAACGGCCGCCCCGCCACCAGGCTTGCCACCAGGCTTGCCACCACCACGCCAACTCCAACCTGACGCCGTAACTGTCTCAACGCGCCCCACCTGCCTCGCCGCCTGCAGACTGATTCGAAGAGTCGTTTTCGTCGCTCTGTCCTTCTCGCAGCTAGAAGGGACGCCCAATGAGCGCGAGAGAGACAGAGCGACGAGAACGACTCTCGAAATCAGTCTGCTGCTGACTGTAGACCCTTCAAAACCACCGAGCGGCGACGCCGACCATTCCGACCAGTCCGACGGGGCGAAGGGGTGACCCTCGAACTGGATTGCAAAGTCCACACGCTGGCCGGCCTGACCTAGAGTGATCTGGAGGGAGGGCACGTGAACTACTGACGCGGACCAAGGAGTAGAGTTAGTTGGTACTCCTTCGATCGTTCAAAAAGGTTCAATTAATTACTCATGGTACTTGAAAATTGGTACTTACCTCAAAAAATACCAGGAGGTACTCGAAAAATTGTCGAATGGTACTTGACAACTGTTACTTACCTCAAAAAAATATCAAATGGTACTTGAAAAATTTGCCAAGTGGTACTTGAAAATTGGCACTTACCTCAAAAAACACCAAATGGTACTTGAAAATTTGTACTTACCCTACTTACCTCAAAAACACCAAATGGTACTTGAAAATTTGTGAAGTAAGTTTAGTCCCATTTAGTTGACGGCAGGTTCCCAGCGTTCCTCGCTAGGTTTACGCTTTGCACAGCTTGGTCGGGCGCGGTTGCTTCCGTGAGGTTGGCAGAGAGCAGCCTCCCTGGAGGGCCGCGTGGCCCACCCGATTCTCCGCGAGATGAACCGAGGGACGCCCACCTCCGCGAGGAAGGACCACTGTATGCAACCGGTGCAGCACATCGCCGGAGCCACTACACTGACCTCAAATGAGTCAGTGAGTGACGACGCATGACAAAAGCTGTGACTAATTGCCGGACCGTTGAGTCACGGTAACGGTGACGTCGGGTCGGGGCCGGGGACGTGACCGCCGTGACGGCTTTAGACGCGGCGCCGCGACCTACACTAGCAAACAGAGTGACGGCGTCATAATGCCGACAGACGATGACATCGCGCATCGCTTTCACGCAAAACGAGCTCGAATAAACGGAATGGCCAGAGCGAATGTGACTCATGTACGGCACGACGCTGTAAAAATAGACAGACGGCCGCGCCAGTGGAGTCAATACGGCGGCCAGCGCCCGTCTGCTCGTCGCGGCGTCTTGGCGCCGGATCATCTATTTGCATGTGCGCTCGTCAATACTGGTCTGCGCCACGACGCGGCCGACACGTTTACAGACCGATCGTTTCACGAAGTGTGCTAATAGTCTCGACCTTGGAGATGCGAGCCGCGCGTTCGAAGCGCCGAGTGCATGCGGGGAAAAAAGGAAACGCCCAACGCGCAATTTCTCATCATTGCCGGGCAGCCTTGTGGTGTTTGGGGACCTGGTGGCCGCGTATTGTCGCGTCGCCGGCAGCTTGCCGTGATGGATGGCTGCGATATGGATGAGGCGCACGCACACACACATGCACACACACACGCACACACACACACACACACTGCTCGGACCTACAGACGAATGGACGGCGCCGGCCGAAGACTGTGGTCCGGGCGGCCTTCCCGATTGCCGCGCCGCACCGCGCCGCACCCCGCGTCGATGGCGTCACCGCGACGCGTCATGCCGCGCGATCAGCCGGTCCGTGACGTCTGGGCGCGGGGCGTGGTGGACGCGGTGGTCGCGGAGCGCCTCGCGTATCTCGTACCGGCCGCGCCTAAACAAACGTGACTCGGAGCCCAAGAATGCAAACAGTGCCGGGAGCTACGACGACGAACGAATGCCGGCCATGTAAGTCGGAGGGACAGCAAGGAAAACATCCACTCGATGGGGACTCGAACTTGCGACCTTCGCGCCCGATGGACTTGACAAGGGCCCTGTTACCCGGCCGCCCTTCGCGTCCTCCCGCCGGTCGGCCCGGCAGCTTGTGTGTCAGCAGGGCCTCGGAGACAAGTCGCCATCGTGGTCCTCCCGCTGGCCGGCCGGCCCCCCGCCGTGTCCAATCCCGCGGAGCCGCCCACCAGAAGAGACCACCTCGGCCGCCACGGCCAAGGCGCGGACGGCTGGCCGCGCTGGCAGCTGTCCCGGATGACGTCATTGTGCGCGATACTTGCCGGGCACTGCCGATGACAAGCCCGAGCACAACCCGCCTTCCGTTGCCTTCCACGCCGGAAAAGAAAACCAGTATCAACAGCACATTATTTTTCATCCTCCGGCAGGGACCTTCACGCCATGAGTCACGGCCAGGAATACTCTCAGATTTGGCAGGTCGTGTCCACGCTTGTGGCACTAAGGCCCGCGCGCGCGGCCGAGCACCGGGCCCCCACTCCCGCTCCGTTCCTTTCACTGGTGTCCTACGAGGGCGTCCTTGATCCTGACCTGGGCAGGAGCCGCGGGCGCGGCGGGGCGGGGCGTGGTGGGTGGGGCGGGCCCCTTTGGAGCATCCATCATTAGAACCAGGACCGCGCCACACTCGACAGGAGGGGGGAGTTGTTGCGGCTCCTCGGTTCGGCCGGGCCGCTGCTTGCTTTTCCTGGCCACGGCAAGAATATGAAAAATTCACGCGCCGAACTTGCGAGGAAACCGGAGGAAACTGCGGGGGCATTTGCCGGCATGCCGAGGACGCCGTGATCGAAGAGGCAGTGCACGGCAGGGCCCGGCAGGGCCGAGCGCAGCAACAAAGAGGCTGCCAGGCGAGGCCGAAACCGAAGATCGAACACAGGGAAGTCGCGGCGCGGGAATCCCAGCGGGACAACATCCCAGTCGCACACAGCGCGCCTATTCCGTACGGCGCTTCGTCATAGGGCCGCCCCGTGAGAGCGAGAGAGACAGAAAACACTGTTGGGAATCAGCCCGCAGGTGTGGGCGCCTGAATGAAGAAGTGAAGCGATGGCAGCGGGGGGCTTTTAAGGCGAAGAATGAACCAGCAACCCATGGGAAGTACGAGGAAGGCGGGGGGAAAGGGGGGGGGGGGCGATGACTAACGAAGCCGGCGAACAACAAGAAGTAGGGGGCGTTGGCGCGCCGCGTCTGGAATCAAAGGACTGCGTCCGTCTCTCTCGCACTCGCTCGCCGCGTCTGGGCGTCTTGGCACTTGCTCGACGCGACGGCCGTCGGTCCGCTGGCACGCTCGGCGTGCTGGGCGTGGAGGGGACTCGGTCCGCGGCATGACTGACCGGAACGTCAAGCGACGCCAAGCGACGCCAAGGCAAAGCACTGCAGCCGGTCCAGTCCCGCGGCGTGGCGACCAGCGAACAGAACGCGTGTGCTTCGTGCTCCACCGCTTGTAGACCGAGCCCACGAGGTTCTTCTTGTGCTTCAGTGCGAACAGTGCACGCGCGGAGTTCTTTCCGTCCTCGTGGTGCCTCTTTCCCGCACCACCGGTGAACAGTGAACGGCAGTGCGCCAAGACCCCCACCGGAGGGGCCGCCCAGGCAGGAGTAACAGCGACACGAGTAGAAGCGGTAAGTCGTCCCCGACGCGGCTGGCTGTTTGTCTGTCCCGCCTTTAAACGGGATAGAGTGTATACACGGAAATCCGAATTTGTTTCCGGCTCCCCTCCCTGGCGGCGGGCGGCGCGGTCGGGGTGGCGGGGCCAAGGCGGGGCCAAGGCGGGGTGCACCGTCTGGGGTGGGACCCCGTCATCAAGTCGGAGACATAATATCGGCCGGGGCTGGGCGGGCTGGGCTGGGCCTACCCTCGCAGCCCCTAGTACCACCGTCCTATTCCTGATGGGCCTCCGAGCCGAGCCACCCCGACCCACCAAACCCCACCCCGCCCCACCATCCCGCCACGACAGTTTCATATGCCGGAGGGTGGAGCTGCCGCGCTGCGCTGGAAACCGAGGCAGAACCATCAGCAATCAGTTGTGTGGTTGAGGCGGTGCACAGCCTGACTGTCTTGACTGGGGCCAGCACGGCAGGCCGACATGGCAGGCAGGCAGCTTGGCAAAGTCTCTCGGGGGGTTGGGTGGGAAAGACAGCCCCGTCGCCAACGAGTTGCAGCGTAGCGGTGCGTGGCTGGCACGCTTTGGGCCTCAGGCAAGCCTCGGCGCCCCGCCCGACCGTCTGCCGTTCGAATGTCAGCTTGTGAAGCGGTCCGACCGGCTGAAGTCCTAATTGTGTTTCTACGTGCCACTCGGAGCTGTCTGGCCAGCTATTTCCGTATGCGCAGCGAGCGAACGCAGAACGCACACACAGGCTCAAATCACTCACACCTTCACATCAGCTGTGATACACGGCCGAGCATACGAAAGGCTTCAGCGTGCCTACACCGCATCACGCGTGCACTTTTAGCGCGGGCACCTCGGCCCGGGCAGTGCAGCAGTGTCCCTAGGATGACGTCGAGGTGGAACCAACGTCAAGGGTTATGGCACTGCTGGCTGGCTGTCCCTCGCCCTGCCACGCTGCGCCGCGCTGCCGGCGCATTTTTCTACTCAATATAAGCCTGGGAAAACGCCCTTAAAACTCCCTTAATTAAGTCACGTAGCGCGGAGCCGCGGAACGCCTTGTAGAGCGTGGGCGGGGTGGGGTGGGGCGGCCTGGGGCGTGCGGGCGAGGCTCAGTCCGCCCTGGACATAAATCATGGTGGCTTCACCGCCCTGATCTCGTCCACACAACAAAAAGCGTGAGGGAAGCGAAGGAAGGAACGCCCCGAAACGCCGCCGCCTCCAACCAAGGCACCGAGGCCAGGCCAGGCCTAGCCAGGCCTAGCCAGGCCCCGACAAGGTACAACCCCGTTGGCAAGGCGCACGGCCAGGGCGAACGCGCAGCGCCACAACGCCGCAACGCGCAGCGAGAGGCGGCGGCGCCAAACGCGCCCGGCACGGTGCATAGTGTGCGAAGCACCGCCCCGCCCCGCCCCGCCGAGCCAGCGCGGCCAGATTGCCATGCATGCCGGAGGCGCGGCCCTGTCAGCTCGTCATAATGGACGGGCTGCAGACAGACAGACAGACGGACAGACTGACGGACGAACAGACAGACAGACAGACGGATGGACAGACGACGGACGTCGCCATAAGACGGGATGAAATAATGACAACCCCTGTGTGCGGGGCTGGGCCTGGCAGGTCGCGGAGAAGGCCCACGGCCTGCAAATTATTAATCCCAATCCAGACACTTCGGGAGCGGCGCTCGCGACAGACAGGCGGTACCGCTGTACGGCTGCACAGCGCGCAATCTCCGGCCACCCTCCCTTGGACTGGCCCGAGGCGGGCATCATTGGGTCAAAAAAAGGGTCCACCATTGGGTAATATAGTCATATTGTTGATAAAGATGCTCTTCTAAAAAAGCAACTAACTTAAAAATAAAATTCATCTATAAAGTTTCGAATAAACTTGTCGAAATGCAAATATGCAAACTATTTAAAAACCATTTGGCTGATTTTTTGGATGTCTGAAAATCGTTGTTTGGGCTGACTGCGTCCAATCTAGGGCGGAGTGTGACTTCACGCCTTGGTTTGGGAGCAGTATTGCCGCGGAGTTGGTCATAACGGTGACAAATGTGTAGAAATCGTGGTTCAGGCTGACTGTGCCTTATCTCGGTGAGACGACGTGGTGGCCAGTCCCCACAGTGCTTCGTCGCTCTGTTCTTCCTCGCACACCAGCGGCACGCACTCTAAATGTCTTACGAAGAAATTTCCCATAATACGAAGGAAATGGCGCAAGCATAATACGAAGGTGGTTTTTCTTCGTATTACGAAGGTTTTTCTTTGTATCTTACAATGATAAAGCTAAAAAGATTCGTATTACGAAGGAATATTGCTTCGTATTATGCTTGCGCCGAATTCACTGTAACATACGAATAACATGGGCCAAATTTCATTGTAAGACATTTAGAGTGCGCGCCACGAGTTTGAAAGAGAGAGAGTGTGGCGAGAGTGATCCCTGCCTGGGCGGGCGATCCGTACACGTGTGCGTTGTCGTGGGCAGAGTGGGATGAATGGGCGGGACCGACCATGAGGGAAGGCAGGGGAAGAGGATTACGCCTTGATACAGAATTCAGGTTTTCCCTTTGAGCTCCGCGCCTCATATCGAGCGTGTGATGTTCATGGAAGTCTGTGCGGCAGGTGCACATGACCAAATACGAAAATCCTGCGACGTGTTGTGCGAGGGTCTACAACATAGCCACGCATGGCCTCCGGCTGTGCCGCCTCGCCCCACCTCGCCCCGACGCCATCCAGATGCTGCAGTCCTCCGCATCTTCATCATTCTCCCCCCTCCCCCCCTGACTGGACCCGCCCCCTCCCCTTGCACGGCGAGCTGACCGGAATCTCTGATGGCGTCGCGTCGTCGCCGTGCCGTGGCTTGGCGTTCCTTTGGCACGGCTCGGCTTGCCCACGGACGATAAGCCCGCCTGTGAATGCCGCTGCAGTCACTGCCGCCGCTGCACCAGCAAATAGGGACATTGCACTCTCTCACTCCCCCTTCTTTCGGCGAGGCGAAAAGACGGAGACGGCAAAAAAAGGGAAACGACTAGAGTGAAATCCGATGCGATAAGCATCAGGCCTTGTTGCACCGGGAGAGGCTGAATCTCTGAGTCGCTGCTTCCGCTGTGCACCGCGGCGGTCTCTCCGGAGACAGCTTCCTCTGGACCGCCGGGAAAAGAGCAACATCCAGATCGACAGCGAATCGAACAACACCGCCTTGCAATCAAGCGTTACAAATTTTAAGCAGCCTTCGCTCCTTCACTTCTCACCGGCCATGTTTGGCGCGAAACAAAAATGTGCCAGCTGTACTCCCAAACCAAAATTATCTTGTTGAAAGAGCGTCTATGAGGCCATAACAATTTAAAAGCAATGCAGCGCCTGGGATCGCACTGTCGTTGCGTTCGGCGAGCAGCGCGACATCCACGGGTGCGGTGCGGGTCTGCCTATCCGGAGCTCCGCGGGCGCTCGCCGCGCTCGCCCCAATCGCCAAGTGTTTCCAGGAAAGACGCTGGGGAGGCGCCGCTGCGTGTGGAATATGGCGTAGGGCGGGGTGGCAGGGCGGGGCAGGGTGGGGCGGGGCAGGGCGGGGCGGGTGCCATGCAATTCTAATAACTCCCACGCTCCCGCGCGCAATCAGGCCTGAACGCAGTGGCAAAGGAAAAGCGAGGAGTGTGGCACGGAGGGCCGCCGGGGAGGCTCCGGGAGGGAGCGAGAGGGGGAGAGACGGGAAGGGGGATGAGAAGGCGCACGGTGTAGGTGCGAGGGAGAGTCCCCCGCTCAAAAGTTGATTCTAAAAACACCAACCTTACCTCTCCGCCCCCACCACGCACTCCCACTGCCGCGGCTTCCCAGCGTCCTCGTCCCTTTCACGCGTCATCGTCGTCCCGGTGCACTTCGGCGTGCCTCGGGCAGGCAAAGCAGGCGGAGCAGGCCGACGACACGAACCCGGCCGAAAGGATTACCGACTCAGTCAGCGAGCCAAGCAAGCGGAGCCGGGCGGAGCCAAGCCTCGGCCGGCCGGGGAGGCGCTAAGCGAATTGGGCGATATGAATTAAAATAATACGGTCGGGAATGAATTGGACTGTAATGGTTCGGAATGGAATTAAGTCGGATCGGGAATGAACGGGGGGACAATAAGGAGCCCCGGCTGGAGCGAGGCAGAGCCCGGCAGAGCCAGGCCGGCCGGGCTCCGCTGCTGGGGAAGGTTTACGACTGGAAAATTTGCCCGCTGAGCGCGGAGAAAGAGGCCATGCACGCATTCCGGCCAGGGGAAGGGGCGCGAAATACTTATCGAACAGAGTGTTTCCCAGGGCCACCCATTTGCCGCCAGGCTTGAATGAATCTGGACCAGCAGGGCGTGGCGGGGCGGGGCGTGGCACACCCTGCAGGGCCTTGGGGAAAGTGGCCAGGCAATAGCGAGAGGATAATGCATACCTGGGAAGCCCAAATAGTTCCCCGCTTCGCGTTGGCGGCTTTTGTGGCGGCTGGGCTTGGGGAACGGAATGGAACGGAACGGGTCGCAGCGTCTTCAAAGACAAACGAATGGGCCCCCCCGTGTGTGGCCCGGCTAGTTTACACATCAAACGGCCGCCGCGCCGCCAACGAATCCAAGCTGTCGCCCTCCATGAGGGCACACTGTAAATGTCTTACGGTAGAAGGCTGCACCGACACATTATAGTGGAGATTTTCTCTATAATACCTACGAAATTCGTCAAAATATCTATAAGGTACAGTAAATTCTCAATGGTATGGTATGAAGTCAGCTGCACCACCACAAATATGGAACATTTTCACCATAATATGTAGGCTGTAGAAGGAAGCTTCCACGTCGCGAAGCCACTATGGCAAGGGGAGAATCGCCCGATGTATTCCGTGTGAGACAAGGAAAGAGGAAAAAGCGACCAGTCCAGTCGATACGGACCGCGGAAATATAATGAAATCTCTGTAAACATTTCATATCCCCAGGCCAGCCAGGCCAAGCCGGCCCCGTCGTCACCCACCTGCGGGGGAGGGGGAGGGGGTCGTAGAGCGTTTGTTT